CCCCCCAATGTTGACTCCATGGCTATGGCATTGGTTTGTACCAAAGCACACCACCCGCAGAAAACTGTGACACCCAACGCTCTGGCTTCATACTCGAGGGAAAACGATAGTGAGCTTAAGCAACAAAATGAAAATTACAATTACAAAAACCACTGACCTTCCATAACTGCAAACTGAGCACTCCCTTACAAAAGTTAATATATCTCAATGAGTTTTCAAAAGGTTAAGCAAAGGACAATTCTCTGAAATCAATAAAAAGACAAAAGTATGACCTCAATATTGTGTTAATTTCTCTGAAATGATATAATTTCTGCACGTACAATAATAGAAGATAGTAACACACAATGAATGATTTTGATCACCCATGATCTATTCACCAGCCCACTGGTCTTTCCTGAATGTAAATACGATGTCTCTAACCTACATATGTTCTCGGATCCATGTGTCCCTCTGCCTTTCTCAGTGTAATTTTAAGCATGCTTGTTCGCATACTTTTCAATATTTGTCGCAGAGCGTAATCTCCGCTTATGAAAAACTTTCTTCTTTAGGTACATTGTTCTTGTTTGTCTCAACATTTAATACATTTGACATGTATCTTAATTCGCCTCGCAGACTTATTGTACGTATGAGAATAGGTTGTCCCATTTTTTCTGGCAACAAAACATGTGTTAAGATGTTAAAACAGCAAACTGAAACCTTTTACAAGGAATCATGTCTGCATTAACCACAATACTTGTGGTCAGAATGCAAACAAAAACACGTACTCTGATAATATATGCATTGTCTTTGAAACGTATTGGTCCACACCAGAGACAGATTTCTTTTGAGCCTCGTCTCAAAATGGTGTTAGACCAGAGGACGCCAAAAGGCTTTTGTTTATTGCTCATATTTATCTTGAGCCCAACTTTGCAGCCTTACTTATTAATTGATTCAATAATTTCCATTGGTTATTAAAATTACTTATTATAACAGATGAAATGTGTCATTTTCTCCATTTATCTCTCTTACTTTAATTCTCCAATCCAGTTTTTGCTAAATAACATCTTATAAAGTTTTCTGTGAATACATTTTATGAAAGCGTGTCTCTTTGAATGACTACCTATCTAAAATGTGTTGTTGTTACTTTCTTCAAGCCACTTTGATATCGATGTTTAATTAAAAAAATATATCGTTTCTAAATGTCTTGTTTTCATCTTGGTTTATGTTGCACTTGGACGACTGCATTGATATCCACCGAGTCAAATACAAAGGCTACAAATCATGGTATTTGATATATGTATTTGTCTTTCCAGAATATAATTGATAGTATGTATGTGGTCAGTGGTAGGGAAACCTTTCCTCAAACTGAATTGCTCATGTGGCTGTGTGGCCTCTAAATTTACCATAATTACGTTCCGACTGATATTCGTAAAAAACGTATACAATCAGTCGCATCTCAAAACTCAATATATAATTTACATACGATCAGTGTTATGATGCAGTCCAAGGTTCATAGGAATTTCGCCTTTCTCAGACCGCTTTATTACGCCGAGTTCATCTCCATAGTAATGGTGCAGCGTTTATTGTATGCACCAGCATCACGTGCCTTAGTCTCACTTACTCAGGCATGAGGGTCATGACGATATCACAAAGTATGCGATAATAGCTCAAACAGCACACAATGTGATGCACGCAAAATGATGAATGATTCACTGTCGTTGTGCATCACTCATTACATCTCGCGGATGATCACTCCGCCGAACGAAGTAGTTCCATGGTCTGGTTCGTAAGTATGACTGAGCGTTCGCAAGTCCGATGGTTAAAATAACATCTTAAGCCAGTTCGTTCATAAGTGCGGATGTTTGTAAGTCGGACGTTTGTATCTCGGAGACTGCCTGTGTATGTGATAAGAGACTAATGGGTGTGTAAATATTTATGTCAATTGTATCTCCAGGATCACATGATCTAACTTTGGACATCAGCAAAGACGTGAGACCAATTGTTGGTACCACATTAGTGGCCGTCGATAAATGACGTCACGCACCTAGGGGGGGGGGGGGGGTCAGACATTTGTGACGATGTGTGACGCGGGGGGGGGGGGGGTGAGAAATGTGACGTCACATCAGAATGCGCAACTTTAAATATAGACGACACGTTCTACTTAATGAAATAGACTTTTTAATCAATGTTTTCTCCTACAACATCAGAGTGTAGCGCCACATTAAATACGCACTACAATGACAATAGTTTAAAGCTATTTGAAGCATGTTTTTTTTTTGGGGGGGGGGGGGGGCAGAGCTTTGTGACGTCATATTTGGGGGGGAGTGACTTTTTGTGACGAAGGGGGGGGGGGGGTCAAAAATCGTCAAAAATCGCGTGACGTCATTTATGGACGGCCCCTTAGCTGATGTATCTACTCATCTGATTTGGTGGCTCAATGATAGAGCGAGCATCTCACAATCGGACGATTGAGAATTCAATTGCTGGATGAGGGTTAACTCAGTCCATTATCCCTCCAAGGTCGATAAAATATATACCACTTTGTGGCGAAGTTAACAGTGTCCGTGCTATATATATAATCCCTCTTTCCATAGGAAACTGGAATCACCACCACTGGCTCAGGAGAAAATCACGTTCACTTTTTACTCGAGGTTTTGCACAAAAATGAAATATCTTGATCATGGAATGATGCCGCAGTCATTCTTATGTTTAAAATGTGGTGATAAGAGTTGAAGATATAACACAATTGCAAGTACTGAACATATATTTATCTCCTGTAATGTTTGTTTTAAGGCCAGGCCTTGATTTTCCCACCGGTGTGGAGCCTAGCCTATGTACTTCAAACGACTTGACATTTCCAGATGACATTTCTTCCACTGGGAAGAGCCGTGTGGCCACGTGATCTGTATCATTCGGGGAGAATAGAAAAAAACGCGAGGCTGCAAGCCACAGCAGGTTGCTTGTGTATCATGGGCGTGGATATTCCTTTGTTTAATCTTGCATGCAAAGGCTACAGACACATCGGTGATATCACACACGTGCGTGTCAGATCGCAGTGTAGCCAGCAACCCTGAGACGTGCCTGTGGAAATATCCTTTATACACGCACACACAACCGCATTCCTAGGGGTATACCCATGGTATTATTTTTTAAGGCAGGAAAAAATCCACGGAAATACAAAAATGCTACTGGATTCCTCAGCGTTAAAATTACAATGACGGCGAATCAATATGAGTATTGCCGCATTTCAAAAGCAGCGTGCCAGCACATACATATAAAAGTATGTGTCTATGAGTGTGTACATGCTGTGTGTCCTAATTGATGTGCATACCGCTATTAATAGCAACACAATATTTTGCTATTTACCATTGGTGTATTGCTGTATATACGATATATGTAGTATGTATCATAATAAGTACGGTATTCCAAACATAACACATTAATTTGCATGTAAAAACTATGAAGATACAAATTATGTTTTAAAGCTTTCGTGACTGCAGGGATTCATATTCTTGGTTCTTTCGGTAAAGTCACATGATGATGATTGCTTGTGTTGCAGTCGAAACGTCGTGAGATTTGTATTGTTTAATGTTTGTATTATTTCCCTTCTACGTGACTTTACCGATAGAACCAAGAATATGAAGATATACTTTGGTACATTTACCCTTTGCAGCTTTACTGCATTTAAATGCAATTTAAAGCCACGAGGTCTCATTGCCAAACGGTTTTGTATCGTTTTGTGGGAGTACATTTGAAGGTCGCTCAGCTGCCGAATCCCACAATGGATGCAAGAGTGGCTCTTTAACCATCATCTCTATCCCAACCAGAATGGGGACTGATTGTCTCGTACCCAGTCCAGAGAGCCGCAATATTTGAACAAGACGCGCTGCTCCGATGCTGCTTGTGTCCATACTAACAACCAGCGAGAAAATGTATCTATCTGCCGGTGAAGGAAAACACTCATCTACTGGTGGAAACATTAATAATTTCTGTTATAATCAAACAGCAAAACCGATAATGAACACATTCATAAAGTGTGCACTGCTGCCCATATTACGAGGTATTCTCGATGTTTAAGAACAATAGGGGTATGGTGATAAGTGGATGGGCTGTTACAGGGAGGAATGGGCATTCCAGGTTCAAACCCCCTTCCTTTGATTTTGTGATTGATGTAGATATTGGCACCATTGTAAGAAGGGAGCCAAGTCAATGTGTGAAAATGTTCTGTTCAATTATGATAGAAAAAAACCAAGGCGAATATGTGGTCATGTTAGCGGAGCCAAATTAAGGGTCACACGAGTGATTTGTAAATGTATCCTTCACCTCGATTTTACTCTTAAAAAACGCACCGCAAGTCACGAGCCATCACTGGCCATGCATTGCTGATGACGCTCACGATAACGAGGTTGCTGGTTCACAGAGTCGAGTGATTAGCACGCTAGCAACGGAAGCTTTCGGATTGTAAATGTTTGGCTGATTAAATACCCCATCTCAGTAATTCGAATGCATTGTCTATATCGAGCAAGGTCATCTGTTGTCAAGTAGACATTTAATGGCATTTACCACAACGAAACTCACTCACAAACGGCAAAATATGATGCACTTAGCTCTGTATTATTCTGCCGGTCAGAAAAGCACATACACATGAACAACAGTACACACTCTCTGTATGCGTTTTGGCAGAGTAAACACGTGCACTTCTCAGTGAGCTGCGGGCTATGCATGCGCGCGTCACCCCTACGCGAATACTCCACAACGCTGCGCCATCCTCTTACGGAATTTCACGCGAAATAAGCCCCAGCAAAAAGAGAAGAGCACAGCTCCCACGAAGCTGCCTGCACATCCGGGCAGAGCGCATCAGCACACACACACACCCGCAGCAAAGCGCACACTGTATCACCGGCAAGCATATCAGCAGCAGCAGCACTGCTGTGTGTGTATGAGAGATGGCTGCTGCGGGGTCCTGTGATGAACACGCGCCGTTGTCTGCAGCGTGGTCACCACGGAGCCTTTTCTCTTACCCGTGCAGTTCTGCGCAGCGCTGCTTCTGCTGCTGCTGCCGGTGCCATTGCTGGCCGACGCAGTGCAGGGAGCCGACCCGTTGGGCCCCTGGGAGCCAAGTCCGGCGGGGAGACCCCACGACCTCTCGCCGGCGAGCGCTGCCAGGCAGCAGAGCGCTGCGGGCAGCAGGGCGCGCAGCCGGGAGGCACAGGCTGAGCCCCGCATGACGACTCATCCGCATCCCAGATGCCAGATCACAGCGGGGCCAAGTCGCAGTCGGGCCCCTCTGCCTTCTCGTCCACGCGCATTGCCACCTATTTCTGTGTCTGCCTGCCTACCTACCCACCTGCCTACCTACCCACCCACCTGCCTACCTACCCACTCACCTGCCTACCTACCTACCCACCCACCTGCCTACCTACCCACCCACCTGCCTACCTACCTGCCTGTCTGTTTATATCTCAACGCCCCTACCTCGTCCTCCACGCGATATCGCTACCGTAGACCCTGCACGATCTATATACCACGGACACTACTACTGCAGGCTAGGTTATCTTATTCCGCGACACACTGTGCCAGTGTCGCCAATCTCATGTTCGGTTCCTCTATTTCACCCGGGTTGTTTGTGTACTCTTTTTTTATTACGTTGCAGACGGGAGGGGGAAAAAATAAAAAAAATAAAAAGACGAGAATGAGAAATGCTATATTTCTAATGCTATAAACATCACAACAAAGACAATAAAACTACGGCAGAAAGCCGAGCAAGCGCGTTTGTGATGGTGGATGGGAGCGAGTGGATGGAGGCTCCGACTCGTGCAGTGAGCACGCGACGCGCGCGGTGTCTGCCTGGCGGATGAAGAGGACCACCAGCCCCCTGCCGCCAACCCCCGCTGGTGTCTGCGTGCGTCTGATGTGAGTCTGCGTGCGTGAGTGTGTGTGCGTGTGCTCTCTTTCGTGCGTGTGTGCGCGTCTGCTGTTTTTCGTGCGTGTGCGCGCGTCTGATGTGAGTCTGCGTGCGTGTGTGCGCGCCTGCTGTCTTTCGTGCGTGTGTGCGCGTCTGATGTGAGTCTTCGTGCGTGCGTGTGTGTGCGTCTGATGTGAGTCTTCGTGCGTGCGTGTGTGTGCGCGCCTGCTGTCTTTCGTGCGTGTGTGCGCGTCTGATGTCAGTCTTCGTGCGTGCGTGTGTGTGCGTCTAATGTGAGTCTCCCTGCGTGAGTGTGTGTGCGTCTGATGTGAGTCTTTGTGCGTGAGTGTGTGTGCGTCTGATGTGAGTCTGCGTGCGTGAGTGTGTGCGCGCCTGCTGTGAATCTGCCTGTGTGATGAGGGTGTGCGTGTGTGTGTGGATGTAAGTCGTGCGCTCTGGCTAGGATGGGTGGCTCCTCTCAGCCGCCGGTGAACAGGGACCATTTGAAATTGAAATCACACCTCGCCATGCTCGGCATCATTACGCACCGATTGGTCCGTGTGCTGTAATATATATATATTTTTACATGTACCCTCCCTCGTTGCTGGGATGTATGCATTTAGAATCCGTAACCGTTTGTATTGTTTATATTTTTTTGTGCGCGATGTATTATTATGATTACACGTAAATGTTGTTTTCCCGAGCCGATAATGTCGCGGGTGCTGATGCTCTGAGCTGCGTCCCCCCTTGCAATTAGCGCGCACGTTTCGCTCTGCCGCTTCGCGAATGCGCGCATCTCGCACCATCAATTACTCGCGAGCGGTTGACACTTCACGTGGGTGGCAGCGCGCGGCAGCGGCCACGAAACTTTCCAAAATAGAACTTGTCCCACTCGTCACTAATCCGAACTCTTAAGCAAAACACATTCCTACTCCTCCTCGTCTTCCTCCTCCTCCCCGTCACAAATGTGTACTTCATTAAGAAGCATTTGAATCGACGCGAACGTGCGATTTAGCCTGGGTCGTTGCTATGTCAGATAGCACAGGTGTTTGAGTTTCCGGGGATAATAAAACACAACGACGCATAATAAATAAGCCAGCCGCTGTTGGCCGCTGCTGTACAAACTCCCAAACTCGCCCTCCTGATCCTGGAAGGGCCCCGGGTTTAAGTGCGCAGGCTGGTTGCGTTGCCGTGCGTGAGTCTCGCGGTGCGGTGAGCGGTGAAGGTTGGATTGATGGGTGTAGGTTATTGGGAATTAGCATGCCGCCCGCGTGCGTGCGCCTTGCAAGTCGCCACCACAAGCCTGCGTGCGAGGACCTAAAGTGCTGGAAGGTGGATGATCAGTTTCCCCGTGCATTTTTTGAAATCCCTCTTGCGTCACCTTGCAGTAAATGATCGGATGTTCGAGCTAAAGATTTTACGACAAGTTGCCAAGGTGGAGCAAATTGTTGACTGTTAGGGCCAGATGGTAATGGGTACATTCCTCATAAAATTGATTTGGATTTTTTTATTCGCCCTATCTCAGATTTGTATTTTATTTATTGTGACCCTGTCACCATATTCATCACAATGAGTGTATAAATCTGTATTAATGGACTTGACATCTGTTCGAACTGTTTACGAATGTAATTTTTAAAGCTCTAATGTAGGTACATCATGTGACCTCTTTTGCCAGTCTGAATATATAAGAATAGGTTTTCCCCTTTTTTCTGGCAACAAAACAGGTGTTAAGATGTTAAAACGCCAAACTGAAACCTTTTGGTGTTTTAACATCTTAAGACCTGTTTTGTTGCCAGTAAAAGGGGAAACCCTTGACTTAAAGCTTTCGTGACTGCATGAATTCATATTCTTGGGTCTTTCGGTAAAGTCACATAGATAGGTTCAAAGAAAATCGAAACGTCGTAGTTTTTTGTTATTTTTGTTATTTTCTTTTAACCTATCTACGTGACTTTACCGAAAGACCCAATAATAGGGGAAAACCGATTCTTATATTTTCAGACTGGCAAAGGAGGTCCCATGATGTAGCTGCTCACCCGAGCTCTCATTGTCCTGATAGTGCATTGTCTTTGTGCTGTTCGCCATTTGGTGTCCTCTGGTCTTACACCGTTTGAGACTGGGCTCGAAAGAAAGCTGTCTCTGGTGTGGACCAATCAGTTTCAAAGACAATGCATATACTGTCAGAGCATGTTTTTTGTTTGTATTTTCACCACAAGTATATGTAGTCAATGGAGACATGATTCCTTGTGCAATGCGAGCGTAAATGGGGTTGTTGCTGGGCTCTGGTCCAATGACACGGCCCGGGGTATTGGGGGGCGGAGCCTGGTCTGCGGAGCGTGTGGGAGGGGCCACCGTTCACCTCGGCTCCAATGGGAGGCGAGGTGAATTGGGGCGGAGCCAGCGGGGTAGTATGGGAAGGCCGGATCTGACGATCCGGAAGGGGAGGAGTCAGGGTCACGTGGGGGGAATGGATATAAGTGGGAGCCCGGAAGAGATCGGGGCAGTCGGGGAAGGTAAGAGGCTGAGCCACGTTGGGTGGTGAGAGAGAGATCCGCGCCATCGGCCACGTGGCCGAAGGACCTCAGCACGCCGTCGGCCAGCGGTGTGCGGAGTGCCGGAGTAGAGGAGCTAACGGAGGAGCGTGCGTGGCACGCGAGAGGGAGCGTGCGCGGGGCGCGCGCGAGACGACGCTGGTCCGTGGAGGAGACCAGCGGGGTGCGGAGAAGAACCTGAATAAAAGACAAGCGGAGACCAGCAGTGCCTGACGGAGTCTTTTATTACACTTGCAAAAGGTTTCAGTTTGGTGTTTTAACATCTTAACACCTGTTTTGTTGCCAGAAAAAAGGGGAAAACCTATTCTTATCTGATGTAGGTAGTTCAGAATTTGAGTTTTGTAGTCATTACGTCTACGCACACTCCAAGTCCTTTTAAATTGCATATACAATACAACCATGGCCCTGATCGACGTTTCCTTATGGCTCATGGTTACGTTGTAAAATGTTTGCTGTGGCACAACTAGACTGGAATTATGATATTTAATAGTTCCCAAGTTCTTATTGTACAGCAATATATTTTCTGCTGCATTTTAAAACGTGTTGTATCTAAATACTTAGTACAGTTGACCACGATCACACAATTACATTCAAACAATTGCATTCATGTATATGTAAAAATATATATGCTGTCATGTGAATGTAAGTTTATAAATGTCAAATATCTTTGAATAATTTCGCAGAGGCAAATGTACATCTAATGTTATCATGGTTGTGAGCAATACAACAGCCGATGGGGAAAAAAATCTAAGTAATTTCATAACTGGCTTTTGCAGAAATGTGTAAAGTGTGTGATGGTGGATGTGTGGGGATAGAGAATGTTACAGGGGTGTTGTTTCATGGAATCAAGCACCCTAGTCGATTTGCAATTGTCCATAGTGTGAAATATTTTGTGTTGGTTACAAACTGAAAGACAAGCCTCTAGCCATTCTGCATCAACATCACAAATAACAATATGGAGCAGCATTGAGTCACGCATGACAACATCCTAAATTACATGTGAAATATCCTTGCATTCCTGTTCAGTGATATTCATGGTTAATACGCAGATAGGGTGTTTTGCATCCGCAAAACCTTTAGTCATAGAAACGTTTTCCACGCTGTGTTTTATCTAAAAACATTGTCACTGTTCGTGCTTTGTGACACAACAAGCTCCCTGCCCTTGACTAATGGCAGTATAACAAGGACAGAGAGATTGCTCTCCTGCTGTCTGCCCTTGATCGCCAGTCATTAGCTTACACTTTATAGCGATCGCAATAGTCTCTGAAAAACACTCACCTTCAATAAGAAGGTACGCATGTTTTATTCGTGGACAAACATTTCGATGAATAATTTGTACAGCGCCCAACATTGTGTGTGAAATCAATTGGTCTATAAGATCAATTTGTGGACAAATATAATCTGCAGTGATCACTCAACATTCATTAGAAACAAAACATGTCTTTAAATTCTCACAAGATGTCGTAATGTGTCACTATGTTTGTCACATCAACGCACCACTAGATGTTTTATAATGCCGAGGGTTCTCCCTGCAGGGATTGAAATTATATCTCTGTTGTGCTCTTTGAAATCATTATGTCATGCAATTTTTGTTCCTGGGTAGTAAGTGTTATTGCATAATTGCTTATGCCTAAAAAGTATAGAAAATGGCTATTATTCCCCACAAATTTGGTTTTGTGACCAGGACAGCGATTTCTTTAGTTATTCATATACTTTCAATGAGAAAACGGGCGAATGTGTGTCTTTTCGTTCACATAAAGTCAGAAAAAACAACATATGAATTAAAATGTACATGTATTTATACGAAAGTAATAACAAAATGACTACAAAAGATATATAAGTGAATAGTTTTTTTTTAGATTTACGATGATACTGTAAATCACTTTCACGAATCAGCCCCCAAATGTAGTCTCCCATCATGTTCTCGTTATACTGTCCTTGGTAGTGGAATTCAAAGTCCAGTATATGCTGGTGGAAGCTCTCGCCTTGCTCTTCCAAGTATGCTCCCATGTTCTCCTAGAATTGATCAAGATGACCATCAAGGATATGGACTTTTAGGGACATCCTACAGCCCATTGTGCCGTAGTTCTTCACCAGAGTCTCAACAAGCTCCACATAGTTTTCAACCTTGTGATTGCCCAGGAAGCCACAAACCACTGCGACAAAGCTGTTACAAGCCGCTTTCTCCTTACTAGTGAATTTCTTGGGGAATTCATTCCACTCCAGGATCTTCTTTATCTGTGGTCTGACGAAGACACCGGCTTTGACCTTTGCCTCAGACAGCTTAGGGAAGAAGTCTTGAAGGTACTTTAAGGCTGCCGACTCCTTATCTACAGCTCTGACAAATTGTTTCATAAGGCCCAATTTTATGTGCAGTGGTGGCATCAACACCTTACGGTGGTCCACCAGTGGCTCCAACTTGACGTTGTTCCTCCCCACAGAGAACTCGGTCCGCTATGGCCAGTCCCGCCTGTGGTAGTGCGCCTTGGTGTTCCTGCTGTCCCAAAGGCAAATATAGCAGGGAAACTTGGTAAAACCCATCAGGAATGCCACCATTTTGAAGTCTCTGATGACCTCGCAGCTGTACTCATCATACTTCAAGGCGTCCAGCAAGGTCTTAATACTGTGGCAAGACTACCTCAGCAGTACATACTTCAGCTCACTTGATCTCTATAATCAAGGTTATTTCACTGTTTCCAGATGATTTTCTCGTCAGCTTTGATGTGGTTTCTCTGTTCACAAAGGTTCCAGTGCCTGACACCTTAGCAATAATTGAAGATTTATTCCAACATGGACAGAACCCTGATGTTACTATTCTGGTTAGGCACTGCCTTACCAACACTTCACCTGGAATGGTACTTTCTATAAACAAAATGAAGGTACCCCCATGGGTTCCCCCTTATCACCAGTGATAGCGAATGTTTTCATGGAGAAATTTGAAACAGATGCCATCCAGACATCCACCCTACGTCCTTTCTTGTGGAAGAGATATGTGGATAACACTTTCGTCATTTGACCACATGGCCTGTCAGCATTGAACCAATTTCTCAACCACATTAATTCCATAC